ACACGCTTGCGTTTTTTTTTTTTAATGCAAACACAGCAGAGGAAGTTGTGGTGAAGATTGAAAACATTTACAAATCGTTTCGGAAACTGGATGTTTGGGAAAAACTGGTCCGACCAAAACGGCACTGGGAACAAGCAGCTACAAGATGACATGAAGTACACACAAGTACTTCATGTCTAGGATTGTTTTTCCTCCTTATCGTTAAAAATGTTCGTGAAAAAAAAAACACAACCACAACAAAGGTGTTCCGTGACTTTCTGGTCCCCTAGCCTAACCGTCCGCCCTTGTCCGTCCGTCCGTTCGTACCTTCAGACAGTGCGGGTGGACGATCTCGTTGCAGATGGAACACTCCATCAGCATGAAGTTGAACTTGTCCTCCTCGTCCTCCAGTGTGTCCTCCTTGCCAGCCTCTTTGCACACCACACACACTGCGGTGTGAGGCAGGACGGGCTGCGGATGAGAACCAAACAAAAAAGTTCTAGTAGAAATGTAATTGTGGACACAGAGAAATATCGAGATACCAACATCATATCTAACCTGATGTTCCGATGGAACAGCAGCAGAGTCCGAGATTATTACAATCACACTTGGACCACAACGGTTGTCAACGCGGTAAACACTAGCGTTGTTATGTAATATCGGTAATAATCACGTCGATTGGATTTTCCCTCCGATAATGAAAACCCAATAACGTAAAGTTATCACTTTCACAGAATCACTTCCGTGAAAGTGATAAACAAAAGTTTAGTTTGTACAGACAAGGCTAACAATAAAAGTAGGTCATGTGTTAATTGCGCGATGATATCGGAACCGGAACTCAAGTGTTTGGACAACACCGGCATATCGGATATCAGCAAGAAGCTAATATCGGATATCCTTAGTAAACACACAATTGTGTTACATGTAAGATGTCGATACGTTATGAAGCGATATATTGCGATATTTCAGTGTAGCGATTACATCCAGTTCGCACGAAACCCTCTAACGATTTAACCCTTTAGACTCGGGATGTTCGTGATATGTTCTCACTGTAGAACAAACACACAAAAAAGCAAACGGCGCTAATCAGTTCTGATTGGTCGACATCAACAGACACACAGCAGAGCAGGACCGACAGCGACTCACCGCGATGCACTGCCTCATAATGCACGACTGCTTCATGCGACCCGGACCTCCGAACTTCTTCATGTCCTTGCAGAAGTGACACTCTCCGCCCGCGGGGAGACAGGCCTCGCCCCTGCGGCAGCGCGTCCTCCTGCGCCGCGCTCCCGACGAGGTGCGGTTGGACGGAAGCTTGACGGCCGACGTCGTCCCCATCTTGGGCTTTGGCCTGTTGGCTGCCCTCTGCTGGAGAAGACAATTTTTGGATTAGTAATTTTTATTTTCTTCAAGCAACGGGAATAGCAATTCTTATTGACATTTCCAGGAGGGGGCACTGTCGGCAAGAGTATGGAAAGCGACGTGAGTCAGGGGATTTAGTCAAATACGGTTATTTGAAGAGCTGCGGGAGGCGAATGGTTAATCGCTTAGAGAAATAACTTGAAGGAAATTAACGAAAGGTGAACGGACCGGTTCAGACGGGTCGGATATCACGGGGTGATGTTTTTTGACGGTGAACGCAACGCAGTGGGTGCGGAAGCAAAAAGTATCACATGTGACTCTTTACCTGGAGTGTGTGTGCGCGCACGTGTGTGTGTGTGTGTGACCACGTGAGTCATTGAGATTCAATAAAAAAAATTTAAAAAAAGCTGTCCTTAAAAAATTTACATACACAAAAACATACACACACACACACTCCACAGGTCCTTGTTTTATTTTTAGTCTCACCACTGTTGCCATGGCGATACTGGAAAGCTATGAAAAATAAGAACTCATAGGGCAGCGGTATCCGTGGCAACACGTCGGGCCTCGTTTGGTGGCAACTGTTTGAGGAGACAACTCGTACGATGTACAGTATGAAAATATTTTGAGCCGAGGATTTTGAAGATAAAAAAGTATAAACATTACTGGTAACTACACGTGCGTTGGCGAGAATCTGGCGATACGCATCGCAATACGATACGGGGGCGACAATACGATGTATCGTGACGCTATAGGCAGCGATGGAGGATTTTGACACGGTATCGGGAAACGAAGTATGTGGATATCTACTGTAGTACACACTGTAGTACACAATACTTGTTAACCCTTGTTGGTGTAGCCCTCAGAGAGACGATGTTTCGGGGTTTCTTTAACAGCCCTACATTTGTTATTTCAACACCTGCCCCTCGAGTCACAAATATGTGGGCAGTGGACCGAGACGTCATCCTACCTGGACCTGGACCTGAACTCGGTCATGAAAGTGAAAAAAAAAATATTGACATTTGTTAAATGATGCGTCACAGCTCCGGAGGTGAGAGTGTGGATTAAAATTAATCCACATTAATCATTTGACAGCCGTAGAATAAACATGAATTAAAAAAAACAAAAACGCTTCAGGTTCTGAACACCAGCGGTTTGAAAAGGTGCAACCGCGGAAACTTCTAGGCCCTCGGCTAATAATAATATCACGTCAAATTAATTTGATGTGAATAATAATAATTTTTTCGTAATAATCATCAGTCATCTAATCTGCCCGGTTACTTCCTCATCCTATCCGACATTGGACAACAATAAATATCCGACCTTGCTGACTCTGCACCTCTGACCTTGAATAATTATTTCCACAGAGAGAGAGAGCGGCAACCATCACCTGACCAGTCTTTACTGTAACTCTGCAGTAATATGTCAGGAATCTGGGATTGGTTTTCTGGGGCCCGTGAACCAAAAAAACGCCGGTCTCTGTGACGGGCCCGGCGTCTTCTGACTCAGGCTGGATCTCGAGTGGGAGTGAGTCACAAGGTTCATCGTGGAGCGCTCATGTACACAGTAAGGCCCTGCACAAAAGCCAGTGTGTGTTCTGTCATCCGCAACAATGTGTCACAGCGGGCGGGGCCGGAACGGGAGACGTTAAAGGGGCAGCGAGCGTTGCATAAGGAGCGTGTGTGTGTGTGTAGCAGTGGTAAATAATGAGGATTTTCCCACGTTTTTTTTCCTTTCAATGTGAGTACGCTAAGGGGCTGCAACCTGCGGATCCCGGGTCTGGGTCTGTACGTAAACAACAGCCCGAGGCTAATGTAAAGAAACATGTTTTTTTTTTAAAACCATTACATCAGCACATTTCGTTTGTGTGAAGGAATGTTAGGGCAGTTGGACAGTTAGACCTAACGCACCACCAAAGGTCGGTGCAGACTAGTCCACCAGTCCATCCACTGTCTGCTTCACATCAACGTCACACGTGTTTCCACGTTCATTTTCCGCTAAATGGGATCAACAACAACAAAAAAACCTACTGAGACTCAGTTTAAAAACTGCAGAATACTCAGTATTTTTTTTTCTTTCCTGGACACAAAACGTATTACACAGCAGGATCGCAGAGATAGCAGTACTTTCCCTGCATACTTTTGTACCAACTTGTACTCACGCAAATCGCAACAAAATAAAAGTACAAATCCTGTATGTGTGTATTTACGATACAAATAAAAATGGCTAACTCTGCACTGGGCACAACGTCACAGTCACATTTTTTCCTGCTGTGTTTTGACCCCTGAACGCAGCACAACAATTCAACCGAGTCCTTAAACACAACCTAAAATACCTGTACGATGTTTTTCCAACTTCTGAGGGTCAACTTTGACACCAGTTTCGTGTACACGGACCAGTATTTTGATTGGTATTTCCAAGATACTCACTAAGGTACTAGTACCTCGGGACTCTCGTGGTTATCACAGTGAATACTACCTCACCTGTAATCAACCCCACGAAGCGTGTTTTTATAATAACGCGGGTCATTATCGTACACTTTCACGTCTAGTTACGGTTGACCACAGTTGATCAACAACGCGTTACAGTCCCTGGTGTTGGTTGGTAAACCAGCGGAATTAACCTCGAACCTCTTCCTCGATCAACACAACCACAACTTTATTCCTGCTTTAACTGGGGGGATCACGGCAGAGTCCCACAGTTTGAGAACCCAAGAT